GGTTTTTTTTTTTGGCCTTGCATGATGCAAGATGACAAACAAGGTACGACGCCAGGGCTGCCATTTGCCCACTGCAATGGGTTCTGGTCATTTTATGCGTGAGCGGTGGCTGAATCCTGGCTTGCAGGCCTTGGTTTAAAGCCCTTTGCGCAGGGATCTGTGGCAACAGTACTGGCCAGTCTGCCGCCTCCCTGCACTCGCTTGCCACCAATTCTTTCGCCCTGTTCACTTTAACCTGCAGTTTTTTTCCACCAACCAGCCATTGTTCGACCAGCTATGCCGTTCTACACTTCCCCTTTAGGTAATATTTTGCGTCATATAGACTAATATCGCTGGTGGTACGCGATAGGCCAAAGTAGATTGGTTAGCAGGACGCATAGCCAAACAAGGGGAGAGGGAGGCAGAGGCGATGCAACAGAGCGGCGGTCCAATCGCCCTGCCGAGAGCCCAATGCGCATGCTTTTCTGGTATTGGTCTGGGCTTTGTTTGGAACCCAGCTGTTACACGATATCTCCCGTTAAGGCCTCGGACGTCCGCTGGGACCGCACAAGCGCTTGGCACTAAGCTGAGCTGGCGGTTACTACTAGAAGTTGTACCAATTACTACTCGGCGCAGCAGCGGTCTTGCTGCTGTAGCATTTGTTTTAAACGGCAAGGTAAAAATGAAAAGAACATAGCGTTATCTCGATGCATCGAGACCCAGAGTGTGGGCGACAGTTGAACGCGCCCCGCGTTTAATTAGACCCACACGCAACGCGTCCATGACCAGCAGCGAGCTAAAGCAATACGACGTGTAATAAGGTAAAAGCCGTGGAAATGGATCTCCGCAACAGCCTGGTCAGGCTGGAACTAAGCACATTCAGTGTTGGGGATGGCGCTAAGCCAAGAGGCGGTGAGGGATGAAGAACGGCGATCGCCATGGTCATCCGTTGCCATGGGACTGTGGTCTGTTCCATAGCGACACTGTCATCCGTTCGCAGTTGAGTGCAAAGGCAAATAGGGCGATCAGCGGTGCTGGCCTAGATGGACTTGCCGGCAGACACAGTAACACCCTGGGCTGGAACAGTGGTTGGCGGCGCATCGCTAGCTGTCATCGGCGGATAGGCCCACTGTGGTTTCTACACACTGCAGCCATGGAGCGAATAGAAAAAGAGAGGTCAAAAATGGCACACTGGCGACGCATATGCTACACCTGTGAGAAAAATGGACGCTGCTGCTGGCTGTTCCATCGTTTCTACGGCGACTAAGCGGGTAGGACAAGGTGTGACGACGGCAAGACCAACCACCTGCGCAGGCATATGCAGGGCACTGGTGCAGCACGGAAAAAAAGAGAGTGAGAAAAAAATAAAGGAAAAGAAAAGAAAAAGGGCCCTCCTACTTGGCACCCAAATTCTGGTAGCGGCGGGCGGCGTCTAAACCGACTAACCTAAAATTAGGACTAAAGCCAAGAGAGAATGAACGGTACCGAACGATGCAAGGGACCACGCCTGCTCATCGCCTCGGCCCATCAGCGTTGAAATAATAAAAGCGAAAATAAAGGGCTGCGCTCTGCGCACAATCACTAGGCGTGCATCAGGGTCAAGGCCACGCCCACGGCCTCCATTGTTCTCCACTCTCCTCCCTGGCCCCTGGGTTCGGGGGCGAGGGGAACAGTAGATAGGAGTGTGTGTATGCTGTACATTGAAGTTGGTGACCAGTCTAGCTTAAGGGTGTCCTTGGCAGTCATTAGCAACCGGTTGACGCATACACACACACACACATACATACACGCACTTTTTCTCACTTTAGGCGTGTAGGAGTCGTGGGGTTGCTGGGTCTCTAACACACCAGCGCCAAACAGCCGCACCGCTGCTCCCAAATGGAGTGCTTCTTAGATAGCGCGCTCGCCAAAAATAGCCGACCGTGAATAGGTACCGGCACCAACACATTCGCCATGAATAGGCCGTATTAGCTCGCCTGGTCAAGGAATAGGGCAAATGATGGTTGGCAGCAAGAACCGACTGCCGAACTCGCCAATGGCCCACTTTAGAACACCGACCGAGGCCACTGCACTGCCTGTAGGGCCCTCCAGCGGGTAATGCAACAAGCAGAGGGTTTCCCGCTTGCTGCAAGAAGAAAAAAAAA